AGTTTTTCTGACACAGTTGTTCTTGAGAAGAAGGTTTTTAAAGATTTTTCTTACATATTTCAATGTAAAACTTGGATTCCCTATTGTGGCCCCGCCCTATCCCCGGGGGTCATGCTTTGAACAATTTAGAATCTACACTACCCCAGGATGCTTCCACATGTTTCAGCTTTTCTGGCCCAGTGGTTATTGAGAAGAAGATTTTTTAATGACCCCACCCTATTTTTGTCTTTTCTTGATTATCCCCAATTGTAAGCTGACTTGGCCCTTTATTTAAAGAATTTAAACTCCCTTTACCCAAGGATACTTTTTACCAAGTTTGGTTAAAATTGGCCCAGTGGTTATTGAGAAGAAGTTGAAAATGTGAAAAGTTTACAGACGGATGGAGGGACAGACAGACAGCTAGACAGACGGACGGACAGACTCAGAGGAAACCTATAGTCCACTCCGGTTTCACCGGTAGGGGACTAATAATATTTTACATGAGAAATAAAACTGTTTGTGTTTCTAAATATTTCATCACGCATCTAGTGTGTTTCTTGTTGTATTAACTAAGATAATGATGATTTAATCCTGACTTTTCAATTTTGTACAGGCCTATGTATGATAATTATACCCTGAGGGATACTGTATGTTTACCTGTCTTCAACAAGTTAGGTGATGTTCACATTGAGTAGTTTTCAAGCATAATTGAGTTTCTGCGTGCTGAAAATAATGATCTTGAGCAATATGAGTTCCATGTGAAATTTGTAACAATCATGATAAAAGAATTCTGGCTTAGTCCTTTTGTAGATAAAGATCGAAGACAAGATATTGAGTAAACTTATTATTTTTTTTTTACATTTCTGGGAGGGTTATCATTCTCGCTGCAGCATGAATTAGTGTAAAATCCTAAAAAGTCATCAATTTAAAAAAAATTGTCTTATAATTCCATTTTAAGTTTTGGCCCAGGTAAATGTTAGAACGAGAGAAAAAGGAGAGAGAGATGAAATGTCAGTATACACAATATTTGAAAAGCAATTTTATTTTATGCAATGTTTTCAGTAAACTCAAAGCTGAAAATTTTAAATTAATTTTATACCAATGTCAACATAATGCAACTTTTATCCATGATATTGATAAAAATGTACATTTTTTTTAAAAATTTGACTAAATAGCTAAATCAAAGTGTTTTGATCTATTGATTTAATAAACATGTATGTTGTGAGAAGATCAGTAAATAATGATTACAAGTGGGAAACGGCTGAGTTTATATTTACAAATTTTAGGAGTTTTCATATTTAAGACCATGCAGACATACATGTACATGTAACTCCTTCCCCTTTTCCCCTTTCCCAGCCTCTGGGACGTTTATGTATACAAATTATTTAATTATAACTCTTTTTGATATAAAACAAATTGTGAATAATACAAAAATATACATGTACACAAAGTTTAATGGCGGGTCTCTGAATGATTTTCATTTTCTATTTCTAGGAAGGTGGACTGACCCTTGGGGATCAGGAATAAAGTGTCAAGCAGATTATCACTGACACACTTTTGACGCAGGTCATATTGTGATCACCTCCATTTTCTGGGTGAAGATGACTTCAAGGGGGTCATAATCTTTACACCATTTAATGCTTTAGGACTCAAGAAACAATATTATATATGGTTAAGGGGAGAAGTTTTCAACCATTTCCAAGATATATGATCATTTGAAGTTTTAGGGGTTGGGAATGACGTCGAGGGGGTTCATGACCCATATATCCTATTAAGTGTTTCATAATACAAAGATCTTAGAGGCTTTTGCTTAAATGAAAGATATTTATTGTTTCCAGTTCCAAAGAGTGGGGATGACCCCAGGGACTTGCCTCAGTGTATAATTTGCATGTGGGACTCCAATGATCTTTGACTCTTTTCCAACTATAGGCCCCTGACCATTTTCCTTTCTGATTTTTTTTTACCACGTTCTATACTAAACTTTTAAAATAATATATTCATAATGTACTTATCGTCTGTTATACGCACTAATAACTTCATAGAATAATAAATCCATTAAAACACACGCTATTGATATTCCCACTAGTAGTAATAAAGTACACACATCATATGCAATCCAATAATGATAACTGTAAAAGTGATGCTCGTAATGTGATGTACTTTAACGCCATGCGCGGGTCTAGAAATTTTCCATGAAGGTGTACATTTATTTTGTAAAATTTAAATTATAATAAGGCCAACTTTAAAATATTGTTTCCTTGACCTCTCCCGGTTCAGGATGAAAAAATTGAGTCGGTATGTATGTGAGAAATTTTTTTTTAAAGACAATTTCAAAAACCAATGCTGAATTTTCAAAACCTATTTTCCATAATGCATAAAAAAAATTATTGCATCCTGGAGATTAAAAAATATGAGTCGGGCCATTTTTAGCCAGTCGGTCGGGAGAGGGCAACCAAACAATTTTTTAAAGGTGGCCATACATAAAATGTTTTATTTTTACATAAGTTTGTGTTATCTATTCCAAGTATGACAGGAAAACAGGTGAATCGTGTTTGGGGGTTGATTTTTGACAAAGTTGATCGGGTCAAGTTTTGGAAAGGGGTTCTCCGAGTCTTTCACAAATACTGATAAAAATATATGATAAAAATAAAGTTTTTTTAAGTTCAAAAGAAAGCTATGCACTTAAATAATAATATTTGTTGTTTTGAAAATATATTTAACAAGTGCCAATTATTGGCCAAAAATTACCCCCCCCCCCCACTCTTTTTTTTTTTACACAAATCTTTAAAAAATTCTCTCTTTAACAGAATTTACATTATTAAATTATGTAATATCAGACAGGTAATGAAATATTTACATAAGAAGCCCATATGGGCTGAAGGTTCATGCAGGTTCACCTGAGCATTTTATGCTTGATTCAAACGTGTGCTTCTTCCCTGGTTACCAGAATTTGAAGAAGAGCGCATTTAGAAGCACTAGAAGCATTTAGAAGCATTTAGAGGCGGGTATTACTGTCTCACGACAGCATCTAGTTTGTTTTGTCACTAAAAAGGGCAAAAATGTACACTTAATTCACAGCTAGAAATTATCCCTAAGATACCTAAATTGGTTTCCATGACAACGGATAGATATCTTTTTTATTTTAATTTGATTTTTATAGTTGTGTTACGTTTCACCTTCTTTTTACTATGAATTTGGTGATTGTAACTTGTGGGTCTCCCAAGTCTGTATATCAGATAGAAATATAATACCAAATAACTTTTTGTACAAAACCTTTATTAAATTAATTACTCTGTCAAGGATGGATAGTTGAGCGATGAAAACTTACGAGAAGTGAATATTTCCAATAAATCAATAAGAATAGGATTTTAATATCCCATACAAAGTTAATCCCAAATATGGGAATACCCAACCTATTTTCTGTAGTTAAACTAATTAAAATAAATAAATTTAATGAACAGGCATCAGTTCCTAATACTAATAAATTATTTCGGGTAAATTAATTATTATCATCCATCTGCTTTGGGTTTGCATTTTCTGCACTATTTTCGCTATCCCCGAGGCAATGAGCAGAATGCTGCAGATGACAGCTGGTCGCTGTTTATATCGTATTTCGTTGCTAGAAAAAATTAATGACGTTCCATCCGCTCCCCTTTCCCGCAATTAGATCTGCACCGGAAGTTTATTGTGCTAAGAGAAAAACAATGCAATATCCGCGGGAATTAGGATGATGTAAGTTGGAGGATCATACGACTGTTTATGATGTCGGAATAATATAAATAGTATGTTATTTTATAATACACAAGATTACGTTTATGGGAAGTGCCTGTTCTTGTTTCAATCTGTGAAAAAAAATTATTTGTTATCTTTACGTTCCAAACCAATGGAGGAAACTCAGAATGACAACACGTCGAGAGTAACATGTAAAATTAAATATTAAAGTAATAATTCGTAACAATTGTGCAAGATAGATGTTACAAAACTAGCGACCCTAAATTCAAAGAAATCGGTCACATCTGGTGATCAGACCCCTTTCTAATTTCTTCGATTACATAGAATCAGTGTAAAATGTTGGTTCTATGCATGTTATTTTTAGGAAAAGGTCCAGGAGGCTAAGCCTTTTGGACCTGGCCCCGGGGCCATAAAACTGTTACAATAAGGGATTTAATTTCTATTGGAAATGTGAGACTGCGATGATAAATGAGCTCATCGAAGTTTTATGGCCCCGAAGCTTCTTGGACATAACAGGCCTCTAGGCGACCTCTAAATTTAGGCGCCAGCTGGCTACTAGTCAGAAATATTTAGTCGCTAAAGCAATTTTTTAGTCGCCAGACAAATTTTTCTTAGGCGCCAGCTTTAAAAGCTGACGTTAATCAATACACGGATCCATTTGGTTAGTCTCTGAAAGGGGAGGGGTTTATTGCAATCGAAAATAACAGAATCAACAAGCGATATAAACCAGTTAAATGCCAAAAGGTTAAACTTAAGCATTCTTGTAAAACTCTATCGTCTCAAGTTACTGTCCGGAGTTCGCTTATAGCCCTCTCCTACCGGACAGAATGGGAGAGGATCGTACATTTCAGTCGTGGTGTGCGACGATGGTAATATATTCTTAAAGTTTAAGGCCTCCATTTCTTTTTAAGAAACTTGGTTCTCATGAAATATTTTGTAAAAACTTTAATAACATCAATTAAAATTGTTTACATGATTTTCATTTTATGTTTGTTCGTACAGGTACGACTTAACATTAATATCCAAGCGATATCTCTAATTAATGAAAATTTAAATGACAAACAATTGACCACATCACCCCGTCCAATTTACTCAAATATTGCGTTCCTCAATTGTCGATCTTCTGAAGCCAACAATTACCTGGGACTTCTATAGTCTTATCTGGACTACCTTATCTCTGTATGCACTGACACGATGCCAAATTTCGTTCGCACGTGCGTTACTAAAAAAAAAAAAAAAAAAAAAAAAAAAAAAAAAAAAAAAAAAAAAAAAAACAAGGTGACAAAGAAAAGAAGACATTTTCTTTTCTCCTCTTAAAAAAAAATGTTGAAAATGTTATAGTTCCTGAATTCGACAATCGACAAGTCAATTTGAAATGGTCGCCAATTTGGCAACTTATAGAGAAATTTTAGTCGCCAATCAAAAATTTTAGGCGCCATGGCGACTAAATAAGTCGCCATTTAGAGCCCGGCCTGCATGATCTGGTTGGCTTCCAGTGGAGCCGCAGCATGGCGATCCTTGTGTTGCTCTTTCCGCATTTTCATCTCTGTAGAAGCATAATAAACGTAGTTTGCAGTTTCAAACTTTGAGCAAGAAATAGGAATGGCAATAGAGGAGCTGGGATTGCACACTCACTGCACAAGTGCGTTCAATCGCACTAAGAACGGGATAAGGAAGAGGTGAACAGTCTCTGATCGGAGTAGTCGGGTTAAAAAAGTAGTTAGAACGAGTTGCGAACTAATAATAACTGGATTGGACGTATTGAATATGAGTTAGATTTAGTTAAGAACGGGCTTTATTTGACTTCGGACTGGCTTTTACTGCCTGGAAAAGACTTATATTCCTATCTGAGATTGATATGAACTTTCTGTGCGCGGGGCACAGACCAGATGGCGAATTAGGGACTGTTTATATTCAAACTAAGATCAAATTGGAGAATTATTTGTTAAAAGTTTCACATTAAAACTTCGATCACAAGCGGTTTATCTATTTTTAAGGATGGGATAGGTAGTTCAGTATACAAGTTTAGTGTGGTGCGAGCTTTAAGGAGAATTAGGAAATGAAAAGCGGAAGTAACCTGTAAAACAAATTCTCCAAATTACATAATTGTTATGACTGTGTAAAACCGTTATAACTCTAAATATCCTCATTACTTCCTCACTTCAGCTGCTTCCTCTAAAGTTATAGTGTCAGGCAGCTTTGGAAGATCATCGAATTCCTTCATTAAATAATTATAAAGCATATCTAGCTTATTCGAATGGGCCAATGTCAAAACCGAATTTCTGTTTTTTGTCACCTGCTTCAACAAATCTGCATCGTGTTTTTCCAACATGGATACTATCTTTTTTGCCCGTAATTGCATACTCTGATCCAGTTGTTCTTCTCTGCAAACTATGCATGTAAAATGTGCAGCATTTAATCCAGTATCCGTTAATTTACCAACCATATCTTCAAATTCAGCGAGTATGTATTCGCACATTTGCACATGTTTTTCTAGGCATGCTAAATGTAATATTGTTAAGCCATCGCTTGCTTCAGCTTCAATATCAAGCCTCTTCTTTCTTAAAAGCTTTAACAAATCAACGTTACCACTTCTTGCAGTAAAATGCCCTGCATGACGACCTTTTTTATCAATGTACGAAATCAACTTTGGCACTTCCTCAAGAATCGATTGGCACATGTTTAGATTTCCAGCATTGCAAGCAATATGAAGAATTGTTCGTTTCTTAGTTGAAACAGCCTCAAGATTTGCACCACGACTTGAGAGTTGCTTAAAAATCTCACAATGTCCACTCTCAGCACAGTAATGAATCGGTCTCCAATCATATTCACTTAATGTTTCCATCAAATCAGGCAGTTTACCGAGGATAAGTTTGCATGCATCAAGTTGCTTATTTTTACATACAATATGGAGAATATTTTCTTTGTTTTTATTTGTTTCTTCCATGTCATATTTATGTTCATGAAAATATGAAAGAAGCTTCAAATTGCCATACCTTGCAGCAAAATGAATAGCATTTTCCCCTTCAAAATTTTGAAGATTTACCAATTCTCTATTTTCTTCATCCCGTTTTAAAATCTTCTCACACAATTCAGTGTTTCCTTGTTGAATAGCAATGTGGAGAACGGAAAATTGACCTTGAGTTGTCTGCTGTTTAATATCCATCCCTTTTTCGATCAGTCTTTGGAAAATACTAGTATTCCCTCCAAAGGCTGCAGCATGTAAAGCGTTAAAACCCTCTGGATCATGTTTACTCAAAAGGTCAACCTTATCTTTTAATTCTTTATCCAGGAAGAATGTGAAGTTTCTGACAAGTCCTTCGCGACATGCCCCATGAATACCATTTAACAATCTTGCATTCTCCCCCCTGAATTTGTGTATTTCTGAAACTTCAAAATAAATTTTTGTTTTGTATGATTTTATTTTTACAGTGCAATAATTAAGAACATTATTGTTATACGGGGTCACCTGAGTATAATACAACATTATAAATGATCCATAGACAAATAAAACAATATAAACAGAAAGATGAAGATTTACTGTCTAAAAGAAAGAAGAATATGATGATCAGGGATCAACAAAATAATTAGCTTATTACCCTGAAGCAAGTAGATTTATTTACATGTACTCTCTTTTATTTGGCTCCATCACTATCACCGTGTAAACTAAATAAAACAAAAGTGCTTGAGCACATATTTTAAATCCATTTCATTCCTTCTCACATTGGTCTCTCTTGTTCTTTGAAAAACAATTAATGTACAAAGATAAGGTATTTTTGTTTCATTTTTATTTATCCATATTTAGAAGTCTAGTTGACCTTAAAAACTCTGAACGTACTTTCTGTATTAATGGTATATATTTTTTAAAAAAAATATCTTATTCAATTGTCATTTCAATTACATTATTCACAGTGAATAAAGAGCATAGGTGAATAGGAAAGAGGAATAACTTCTCTCAGAAGAAAACAGATTACTGAACATTTTCGGAATCTCAGACACCCGACAGTTGACTTCAGACAGCGGACTTTTCACATAAGGGAACGTGTCAAAAAGTGAATAATATAAATAAATTTTGTAGTCTTGATTAATTGTACTCGATAATCACATTTCGTTCTTATATGTATGATTAACACTACTCTACAGTGTACAGGTGTATACATGCACGTGGTATAGAGAGAGAAGAGGTTTCCACCAACTTTTCCTAAAATAATGATTTGCCCCCTTTCCCGAGAGATTATTTGATTGTTTTATTCCAGTGGCACCATTTTCCAAACAACAAATAAAAAGCAGGAATCTCCAAGAACTAAGAAAATGTAAAGGACTTGCATCTTAATATAGATACCTTAATGAGCGCATGATCTTTAAATAAGAAAAAAAATCTGTCAAAGTAAGTTATGGTGTCACTGTAAATTATATTATATAATAAATTTTGTTTAAGGAATTGTTTGTGGACATACAACATTTAATTTTAAAAAAAGTACTTTCTCGGGAAGTATTAACTTTGGGCAATAACATATTATCAGTGTCTTGAACGTGAATAACATATCACATACAGCCTATTTCGTAATCCAAATATCATGTGCTGATCCAGATATTTTAAAGGGGGGGGGGGGCACAAGCACTGGGCTTTGACATATAGCTACTGATCTTAAAACTTTAATTTATAAACATGTTACACCTAACATGAAAATAAAGACTGAACAGTTACATCCTCGTTGGAATAGCCGGGAAAAGTGTGATGCAAATTAGTCAGGATTCCTATGTGGGATCTGAGGTCACCTGCTTGAGGTTTCCACTGGGTACAGGGAAAATTTGAATTTAAAGCCTTGCTGGGGGTCCAGGAATTTTTCTTCATTCTTGGATTTTGAAAGATAGACTTTTTAATATAAACGTATAAACATTATTGCATCGATGTATTTTAATAAAGAATTTGTAACTACAGTACCAACCAGACCCAACCTGACACAAAGCAGTCCCAGAGCAGTCCCGGGGACTGCTTTCTGGGACTGCTAAAGCAGTCCCACAGCGGTCCCAGAGCAGTCCCAGAGCAGTCCCACAGCGGTCCCAGCAGTCCAAGCAGTCCCAGAAAGCAGTCGCAGTGGGCGGGGTTAATTAATTTAATGGGCGGAGCTTACTCAGAATGAGTTTACCAATAAACAATGTAACTATAAAAGGCAGTTGAAATTGGTGATCATTTCTTTCTGAGTGGTATCAACAAATATTTACAATTCTTACACGACAGTCATTTCTGAACTGTTAAGATAATCACAGTACGCGTATAGAAATAAATAATAATAATTGAACGAACAGGATGTTCACACCTATTAAAAACATGAATATTTAAACACAATTATTTGGTATATTAATTTTTCACCAAAATAAATCAGTTTCTTTATTTTCTGTGATTGATATTGGTTTTCATATTTTTTTTATTTTTCATATAGAAAATTAAACTTAAGTTGTTTATTTTCTACCAGAATTAGCTTTAAATAGATCTTATAATCATAGAGCAAGGCCTATTCCCATACTATACTCTGAATGCATTTTTCTAAAGTATTGGAGCTTTTGAAAAGTTCTTTGTTAAATATTGCCGATTATTATATTTCAGTCATAATTATTTTCAATGACTTGCCAATTCAATTATCGTTAGATTCTCAGTTTTAAGTGTTTTATTATATAATTGTTCGAATGTACATGTACATCTGTAAATCACGCGAATGGAACCGTCAGATTATGTTCAAAATCAATTAATAGATTGAAATTTGTATCATTGTTGACCGGCGTGTTCAGTGATGTGTAACACTGATACCCAAATAACATGCACGACTTTCTGCTAACCATGCCCAAAGGCGATTGAAACCTCAGATGTTGACACCATTTTATATAATTGTTATTGCTTTTTATTAATCGGCCAGGTAAACACAAACAAAACAAATAAGACATAAGTCACAATTCCCGATATTTTCAAATGTTTATTTTTTAAATATATATAAATGTACTCGTTTAATAACTTGTTTATAAATTAAAAACTAATTCATAAATAAATCCCCCAATAATTGTCCACATTGTTTATGTGACAGAAGAATGGTAGATTAATTTTATTTATTGGTTATTTAACAAATTATTAGGTTTTATTTGAGGGCGGTAAAAAATAGCATGGAGTGTTCTTTTTTAAACATGGTATTAGCTTTTTCAATTAAGAAAAAAATCCAGTAGAGTATGTCCCTCTGAATATCTTATTGAAATGACAAATTTGTTTGTTTTTGTTTGTGTTTTATTTTAAATAGTGCTTATGCAAACTTTGAATAAATAATTTGACAGCATTAGTTTATTAATAAGCCTAAATAATTTTTTTCAAACACCTGTATTGAAGTAAAAATATCCGCTGACTTCCCTTTTTAACTACTTTATTTTTTAAAATTAATTCTAGACTACAATTGTGTAAATTTACAATCCCTGAAGACATTTAGTAATTACATGTATAACTATCTCTAATTATTTAATTTTTGTAAGAAGTACCGGTACTTGTTTTTTTTTAATTTTTATCTTAAACACCTCTTTGCAGAAAGGAAACTAAACAAAAACAGGGAGCTGCAAATTCAAAATACACAAGGGGCGGAGCTATCATGTCACTCAGAACCTTTTTCACGCACGAGTGAACAAAGCAGTCCCAGAAAGCAGTCTCAGGGACTTTTAATTCAATATAAATGTACATGTATATATACAAGAATTCATGTTCAACCAAGAAATGGTTAAACTTTAAAATATGCTAAACATAATTCAGAATTTTTGCACGTACAAGTGTTATCTATATCAAATATTTTATCTTTTAAAAATGGAGAGGGAATCTTTCTTAATTGTTTACTTTCATTAAATTTTGAGTTTTTAAAATCGCTCAATAAAGTCAGCTTAGCAATGTACTTTTGGATTTTTCAAATCAAATTTTGCAAATTTTAATTCCTCATTCTGTCTTTTTTTCAAAATTATTTTCTTCTTTCATATCCGATTTATTGTTGAATCCCCCCCCCCCCCCCAAAAAAAAAAAAATCATTAGTTTCTATTTTAGCTTAACCGTCGAGAGAAATCGAAAATTTTGAATGTCTTCATTGTGCTGAAGAAGATAAATCAAATATGAAGTTTTATTATTGTCTGCTGCGTTTTAAATTCCATGTATACAGTCACAACTCCCCCCCCCCCCCATTTTTTTTACCCTTTCTTATATTTTTTTCTTGTCAATCCTCATTTATTATTTTTCTATTTCTTCCAAAATCAAAGGGAGGGGGTTGCATTTCCCGTTACCCATATCAATCCGCCATTGCATATGATGTAAAGATACACATATTTAAGGCTATATATATGGCGTATCTGAACTAAAATTAAAAATACGTGATTGAGTGTAGATAAACATGATATATGTTGTTTACGTTCAAATTAAGATTTCTACTGATTTCGAACTTGAACCTCATGTTTCCATAGTCAAATTGATATTAAACTGTGTGTTAATTAAATGCGGAGTCGGTAAATAAACCGTTTAATTATTGTTTTAAATTAATAATATCTATGAAACGCGAGTGATTTAAATTGTGTGATTTACAGGAAAGTCCTCTCTTTATATAAAGTAATAAAATAACTAGATCTTTTTAATTTAAGTTAGACTAAACTTATAAAAAACCGCTATATATGACTTTAATTATGATCAATTAATGTGACAGTTTAGTTGTTTGTAAAATTTTGTTTGTAAAAAAAAAAACTACTTTTAATCTCTACCAATCTCTACAGTTCTTAACTATTTCATTGTTTTCAATTTATTCGTTTTAATAGATGTCAGAGATAATGAATAAAAATTCTCAGATAAATGTTAAAACGTATTTGTATACGCTCCCCGTAAGTTGTCTTTTGTTCGCAAGTCCGCTGTCCGTAGTGCGATGTCAGGTGTCTGAGATTCCGAAAATGTTCAATAGAGCCCTGTCCAGCACCAGAACACTTGACCAAGTGCTCCAGAATTTCACAAATCTGGTAATTATATTTTTGCCCATAACGCATTGTACTGACTTTGTCTCCTAGACGTCCAAGAGGAAAGCAGCAGATTTTCAAAAAAATAATGCTTTTTTAGTAAACATTTAACATAGTCCTGCCCTAACACCAGAATCCCTGGCCCAGGAGGTTATAAAGTTTTTAATTTTGGTCATTATAACTTGGCACTTAATTTATCCACTAAATACAAAGGAGCAGAGAAAATTTTGAAAGAAATAATTTTTTTAAACTATAGAATCAACAGAGCGGCACACTTAGACTAGACCTCCTCACCAAGGGGCTATAAAATTCACACAATTTTGGAGGAAACTCCTTTCCTTATCAATTCTATGCACTTAGTTTGTTTGCTGAATACTCAGTGGCAGAGATTTTCGAAGAATTAATGCATTTTAGTTATATAGACCCCCAACACATGTGTCTGTGGCCAAAAATTTCACAATTAAGGTAGTCCGATCCTCAGGTTCTGAAAACCAGCTTTTAAGTAATTTAAAATGCTCACAAGAGTGTCTTTGATTTCACAGAGTAACATGAATTCACCTATGTCTTCAAATTCCATCATTATAGTTCATCATATTATATAGGGAAAATTATCAAATATATTTTCAGGAAATGCGAATAAAAACACCAACGATGCATTTTCTAATTAAAAATTGATCAACAAATATATTTTAGTATATAAAAATATAGGTATCCAGGGATCTTTTTTATGCTTATACAGTATTTTTAGTTCTATTTACTTCAATTTTTATGCAATACATGTATATAGCGTAAAAAGCTTTTGCTATCATTGCTAGACATCACATATCACGTCTAATTTCATATCCTCCTAATAAGCATTGGAATCTAATGCTAGATTAAAGGAAATTTGATTTCTTTAAAAATGAATTTATTTTTTTTCTTTATGGGGTACAAATGTTCAAACTTTTTACAAGACTGTTTCTAAGACATCAATGCACATTGAATCATATTGAGATGGATAAAATGAAAATGAAAAGATCTCAATTTCAAGCTTCATTTTGAGATTTTTTAAATAAAATAATAAATTTAAGAGTTATCCTTCCTGTCTCAGGATCGGATATCCTTAAATGTATTGAAGAAGAATCCGTGTTCATCATAACCATGATTTTAGTTTATCTGCGAAATATCAAGGAGCAGAGAAAAAAAAATCAAAGAATTAATTCACTTTATAATCAACAGAGCCTCACTCTCACACCTGAACCTCTGATCCAGGGGCCATGAAATTCACAATTCAGATGCTTATAATAAAATACACCAAATTCATCTGCTTAATGTACAGGCGGAATGAGATTTTAAAAGAATTTATATATTTTCACTATATGATCATTGGCGCCCATACTAACTCTAGAAACCCTAACTCTGGAGCACTCAATTTCACAATCTAGGTGAATAGACTCAGACTATGAATTAGACTAATACTATAATGACAACAGTTCAGCTGCTTTTTTAGGGGAAAAGTTTTTAAATATTTCATTTACTTTAATGGTTTTAGTGGCATCCCTCAGACCTCGGGAGGTGGGGGAGTTGTTGTTTCCCTTTGCTCATATATGCTATATGCCAAAATTGGTTGAAATCTTTTCGGCGGTTACGGAAAAGAAACTGAAATTGTTCAAATGTTAACGCACGACGAAGGACAAAAACAGATAGCAATAGGTCCCCTGAGTGAATCTGGTGATATAAAAAAAGGTTTTATATTTTACTTTTCTAAAATGTTAAAACAAATATCAAGCATTATTTTTTTTTTTAAGTTATAAGTGGATTTCTTACCTGTCCTATCAAATTTTCTAAACTGTAAGAAAGGAAAACATTGATATTTAATCTTGATTGGGGATAAATTATTTTTTAAATAAAAAAAAGTAATATCAGTAACATATTTATGTACGGTTAAATTAGCAGTTACCTTTGGAGGCCATCTCAGTTCTTCAGCATAAATTTCATGAGAAGGTATGCAAGTTTGGCAAAATTTGTCTTCCAAAGCGTCCTCTTCAAAAAATGACATGTCATTTTTATCACAAAATTTGCTTTTAATACACTTATATCCCACGGAAATATGTTCCTTCTTAAAATTGTTCTCTAAAATTGAATGAACCGTACTTCTGACATCTGACTGAATTTTTTCCTCTACCGAACTTTTTTGGGAAACAAACAATTGCAATTGAATATGATTTCCACAAATACAAATGGCTATAATGTGGTGTTTGTGTTGGAAAAAAGCGGCATTGTGATAAATACACTCTTCTTGACCATGAACAAAACTATTCCAATACTCAAGACATCTGATGATGAGGCGATGAAAATCAAATGTAGATATCTCACTAAATGAGAAACAAAAAATTGACGATTGTTTAAGCTCTCCCAATATTTCTAAGTTTAAAATCCGTTTGTTGATGCACGGAACAAAGTACCGCAATTTCCCATCCTTATCACTCCTAATAGCTAACAGTCCCAATCTCTGCATATACCGAAGTAAATAGTCTTTGTAACTCAGAAATGATTCGTTTTCACTTTCTTTCCCCCACATTTTCTTGAGAAGCTCGTCACTTAATTCGCCGGTTTTACGAAATGTTGTAAATTCACCAAAAAAGTCATCATTTTTTGCTAAAGTCTTATCCGTGAAAATATACCTAAAAGCATCAACAAACCACTGTACATCAAGGATGACAACATCTTCCAAATTTTTCTCTGGAAAATACAACACTGAACAAACAGTATGAAGAAACAACAAGAAGTCATTCATTTCATCTTTGTGCATCTGAAATTCTGTCGGTACTTGGTTGTTTGGTAGCCACAGCTTCTCTTTTTCAATTACTTTAAAGCTTTGTTGCAAGTACTTTATGATATATTCCAAAAAAATCCATGAAGATGGTACTGCATCTCCCCAATGTTGCTGATTTTCCACCAGTTTAACAATACACGATTCAATATCATCCAATTTTTCAAGGGGTTCATTCTTCGATTTTGGGAATTTAACTGCAAACTTCCTATCGTGGGATAAATGAGCACGGAGTTCCTTCCTTGTACCTAATCTTTTCCAGAACTCATCAAAGTATGTTTCGATATCCTGAAATTATTTTCTAGAATAAGGTATTTGTTTTTATGCACAGAGATGAAATTGCCTGATCATTATATCTCTATTTTTCTATCAAATGGAATGTTGGTAATATCTATGTTTATACTTGATACATTATCCCAGACATTAATTACATTATTCAGATCTTGTCAACTTCACACTTTTAGATAAGATTTTGGCTCAATATGCACTTTTATTTCTGTTTCCGTTTTCATTTTCCTCTTTTTAATCTTGTTTCATTGTCATTTCTATTGCATTATTATGATTTTAAATACAAGGAGAGAAATTCTTAGGTCCTTCTCCCTTCTCCAGCTGTTTTTATTGATATCTATTACATTTACTATTTTCATTTATGTTGCCCGAACGATGTCGGGTGACATATTATTATTGGTAGATCTATAGTGAGTAATCTTTTCCACGAATGTTCAGAAAAATGACTGGGGCAAAGCTTAATGAAAGGTCGCATGAATTATAATCAGCAACTGTTCTTTCTACAATTGAAACTTTTTATTTATTGTTTATAACCGCGTAGCCAATCTTTTTAAAACTTTAAAATATTCTTTATTACATGATGACAATGTCCTCTCTACCAAACAAGAGGCCCAATGGCCTTAACGGTCACCTGAGTACAATACAACAATTTAAAGGATCCATAAACTAATAAATGAAGATTTGTTGCCCAAAAGCAAGAAAAATAGTATGATTTGCATAAAAAAAATTGGTCTAGTATATATATGTCCCCCATTTATCACTATTATCATGCAAACTGTTACACAAGTAATAAACTTCTATTTTTTAACCCCATATTATTACTTCTCACTTTGGCCTCTTTTGACCTTTGAACTATTGAAGAACAATTAAAAAAGATAAGTTATTTTTGATTCAATTTTATTTATCTATTATTTCCAAGTCCAAGTCCAAAACTTTTCTCTGTTTGCCTTAAATATGCCACGAAGCATGGAAAATTTTTAAAGAAATGCATTATCTCTGTATTATTAAATAAATAAGCCCGATCCTTACACCAGAACATCTGACCCATTTACCATAAGCTCACAATTCTGGAATAAGCACCCTTGCTCATCATAACTATACACTTGTTTCTTTGCTTTATAACCAGTAGTAGAAAAAAAATACTTTGAAAGAAATTATGCATTTTCACAATATAATCAATAGCCCCCCCCCCCCTTCACCAGAACCCCCGACCCTGGGGCTATGAATTTCACAATTTTGGAAGAGGCATTCTTGCTTATTATAACCAAGCACTTCCTTTCTTTGAAAAATACCCAGGAGCAGAGAAGAAAATTTGAAAGAATTTATGCATTTTCCCTAGAGTCCCGCCCTAACACCGGAACCCTTGACCCAGGGGCCATGAAATTCACAATTTTAGAAAAGGCACTCTTGCTCATCATAACTATGTACTTAGTTTATTTAATACCCAGGAGCAGAAAAGAAGATTTTCAAAGAATTAATGCATTTTCACTATATAATCAATAGAGCCCCGCCCTAACAGCGGAACCCCTGACCCCGGGGCCATGAAATTCACAATGTTGGAAGAGACACTCTTGCTCATCATAACTACAATGTATGTCCTTACTTAGTTTATTTAATACCCAGGAACAGAGAAAAAGGTTTTCAAAGAATTAATGCATTTTCACTAAATAATCAATAGAGCCCCGCCCTAACATCAGAACCCCTGACCCTGGGACCATGAATTTCACAATTTTGAAAGAGGCACTCTTGCTCATCATAACTATATACTTACTTTGTTTATTTAATACCCAGGAGCAGAGAAGAAGATTTTCAAAGAATTAATGCACTTTTACTATATGTTCTATATAGCCCCACCCTAGCACCAGAACCCCTGACCCTGGGGCCATGAATTTCACAATTTTGGTAGATGGCTCAATGCTTATTACAATCATGCCAACAATTACACTGCTTGATGTCCAGGAGTAAAGAAAAATTTTTTAAAGATTGCATTAATTTTGGTGGTTTTAGACCCACCCCTCAGGCCCCAGTGGGGCAGGGACCATGAAATTCACAATTTTGTTCCCCTTTACCCATAGATGCTATATGCCAAATGTGGTTGAAATTGGTTGAGCGGTTTCAGAGAAGAAGCTAAAAATGTTCAAATGTTAACGCACATGGCACGATGACAGACAAAAACGGATAGCAATAGGTCACCTGAGTGACTCAGGTGACCTTAAAATGGAATTTCTGGACAAAATCAGTCTCTATTTAATAAATTAGTTTCTTTAAGACGTCGTCTTCATTCAGGAGGACTCCTGACAGAAGGGTTATTCATGCGGTGAAGTAGGACCTCGTCTTAACCAAAAATAGTTCTCGAAATACTTGTTGTACTAATTTAGGATGACCAAAGGTACCAGTAACCAAAATTAAATGTTATAAAAAATGACTAGAAATAACCTAAATTGATATCAAGTACAAAGACAAGAGGTGACCAAAATTAATATTAATTCAAGTACGTATGATTAGATGTGAACAAAATTAACTACAGGTGACTAGAGGTTATCAAAATAAATATAATAATAATTGATCAGGGGTAAACAATTTCAAATTTATATGTAATCAAAACTAAATAAATGGTGACCAGAGATAACCATAATGAACATTTTGTATATGTGACTAGAGGTAATCAAAGGTGACCTAAGAAATAACACATATCAAAATTAAGTACAAGTGAATAGAGGTGACCAAAACAAATCTAAAAAAAGATTACCAGAGGGAATCAAAATTATATCAGATAACCAGAGGTAATCCAAATCAAAATAAAATGCAGGCGACCAGAGGTAACCAAAATCCAAATAAACAGCAGGTGAACTAAATTACATTTGATAAGCAGGAACCAAATCCAAACAATTGTACATGTATCCAAATTTGACCAACATCAAAATTAAGTACATGTGACAAAAGATAACAAAATTGAAACCTTAACATAAGTGTCGAGATATAAAGAAAATCAATTAAATAAAGGATGACTAGACTACTACATGAGTACTAAGTACAAATGGGGCTATCCCAGATGGCTTGTTGAAATAATAAAAATCAATATTAAGTAGAAATGAAGAGGTAACCGAAATCAATTTAATACTATCTACTGTGGAATCACTGTTCGTGGGGACCAATTAATGTTCGTGGATTTCGTGTGTCACACTTACCCACCAATTTACATCCCCACAAACAATTATTTTGTTTACACATAAATTCTTTATCTTCTTTGTATACCATTTACCCAGGAAATTACGTCCCCACGAACCAATAAAATTTCGCTTGTCCATGAACATTGACCCCCTCGAATTAAAATAATTTTACAGTATTGCAATATCACGCATCTTCATCACATACTAAATTCTTTGAACACAACTTTGGGGATTGAAACAACACCGTCTGAGCCAATTCGATGTAAAAAATGTTGTTTGTAATAACAAAGTGTCTGGATAACAAGAATTTCTAATATGTTTTTTTTTTACAATAAAAGATGTATACAAATTAAAAAATCATGTTACATGTACTTAAATTTTCGAAGGAAACGTTACAATAAAATATTTGAGTTTTGGGATACAGTATTATTTATGAGCAAGAAGTTGATTGCATCAGCTAAACGTCCATGTATGTTAATTCATCAATATTTACATTGTGATTAAAAATTTAAAAAAACTTACATGTTCTGATCTCCCATCAGCATGTGTGGCAACCAAAATAACAGGTGCTTCCTTCGAAACAGCATTAATTGAATTCAGCCAGAAAGTATAGTATTCTACCAAAAGTAAGCATACATTATTTTTAAAAATAAGTAGAGGTTGTTGAAAAAGTGTTTGCAAAAAACGTTTCACAAATAACAAAATACAAATAAATTTTACCAAAGTATGTCATATAAGCAAACTCTATTTCTTCTTCAGTTGATTCAGTCTTGTGAACTCTCTCGTCAAATGGTTTGGATATATCGACTACTAAGATATAAAAGGCTTCTGGTCTCATGTAAATTTGATGACTTGCATAAAAAATAAACTGTCCGCCAAAGTCGAAGAAGCTTACAAATTTATTACCAGAGTCGTTCTTTTCTACCGATCTCACAACTTCAATTATGTTTTCCAATTTAACGTTTGTGATAAGGCTCTTATCTTTTGTTTTAATCTGAAAAATTCTGTGCACTTTGTTTTGTGTTTTAATTAAAGGAACATTTTCTTTGTCTTCTACAAAGTCTGAAAATCTACTTTCTTCCATATCATCGTTTGAAGTGTCTTTGGTCGGCGTGAGGTTAATTGTCGTTTCTTCCTGGGGCTGTGTAGTAGGCTGGGATTCGTAATTAACATCTTCTCTAGTATCCGCAGGTCTAGCTTCTTTGTAACCAGTTTGTGTTGCCTCTTCATCACATACTAAATTCTTTGAACACGCAAAATATGAATATTTGCTACTGTTCTGCTGTGGTTGGACTGTAATACATAGTAAAAATATTAGTATCTTAAATCAGGGATTTGGTCTAAAAAATACATATTTAATTATAGTTAAGCAGAACTCACCCTTTAAATGGTTTGATGTGGAATCAATGAAAAATTCATCCACATGTACGTCCATTAACTCTGTTGATTTGATTTCCAGGTTTAAAATTTCTTTGAATGTACGTTTACGCAGTCTCATAAGCAGTGTTGTTTTTCCGGCTCCTGCACATCCGACTAATATTCCTATTGAATGGTATACTTTAATTTTAGTTTTATTTTTCCATGCACGTTCCCATTGCTCCTCCAGATGTTCATATTTTCCTAAACGGACAAAACATCGTTCGCTACAGTTTGTTTAATTCATTTTTGTCAAGCAGGAAAATAAACTGACGACAAATTATTCTGATCTGAATATATGTTTTTACCTTTTCCATATAACTGGATGGAAAAATGCCAACTTACTTTTTCTACGTTCTAAAACTCTATTTCTTCTTATATCAAAGGCAATTATTAAAATTAGAGCTGCAACAGGCACTAAGGCGATCACAACTCCTATGAAATACGCAACACCATATGTTTCATCCTTGTGAATATCTAAGTTTTTGTCATTAACCGACCCCGGATTGCTGAAGAGACAAATATTTGTTTTATAGATACATTTCCTCCTTTTTTTCAGCACTTTTCTATTTAAATGTATTCTTTACTCAATATGAGAAGAAAAAAGAAATGATTTATTACGCACGCAGTAGAATTTGGGCATTGATTCTCGGCAGAAAAGCAGTGATCCTTCTGGTTAATCATTAAACATGCAGGGTCTAAAATGATAAAAATATGTAAGTGGCGATAAATGAAGCGAAATATTAGTCCTCACATTTTTTAAAACTAGCTTTAACTTGTTTGGGTAGATTTTGTATTTTTCACTTGATCACATTCATCTGGCAAATTAGTATTTCATTTCTATAATCAACAATAATTCTAAAAAATATATATATCAGTAGTCTCTACATTAGAGAAAACATGAATTTCTTCAACAAAAGAATGTGGTGAGAATAGGTAAATCATACTCACAATTGTAAATTTCTTCATCGATATATGACACATTAGGACAACCATATAAAAAACGTTCCTCACAGTTGTAATGATTCAGATCTCCTGTTCCCTCAAGTCTTACACAGTTACCTAAAGTTTTATTTATTATTCTGTTTGAAGTGTTTATATCCTATATATCATATGCTTTTCTGAAATACATGAGATCGTTTACATTTTAACTTCATGCAAAGTTCAACTTACCAAAATTTTTAAAAATAATGGAACTTTCAATCACAAATATTTTGAAAACAAAAACTATCTTCTGTAACACGTGAATATTGCTTGTATCAAAAATGTCTTCATATTTTCAATTACTACCTATACCTTCTTGAAATCGGGACTTTTTGGCGTCAGTGCAGAATTCAATCAATGATGAAAGGTTATTATTAGGAGCACATAAGAATCTGGTTTCGTTTAAACATTTTCTTTTCGCTGATGCCCGGCTAAATTCGTTTCTGTTCATTGGACATTTGTTGACAGGATACACTTCAAAACGGTACTTTTGTGTCTTTAAACAACAAAATGGGGGAAAAAAAAACAAACGTATAGTGCAATATAAGTAAATATCCAATTTACAGCAATTATTGATAGCAACCAACAATATCCTATAGATTTGATCTTCTATAGTTTGGTCCCAATCTAAACCTAGATATCCAATAGGACTCCACCTTACTCTAGAGCACATAATTTGAAAAATTAAAATCTATTTTTCTTTATGAGCATGCCTGCTTATTCATATAATTTATCATGGTCTAGCTGTTCTTGAAAAGATAATTTCATACTTGTTTTCAATATCTCCCCATGCTAAACTCTGATCTTTAAATAGGCCCCGCTCTACCCCAGGTTGGACATGATTTTTGAATCAATACTTCTTGAGAATGCTTTCCTGTCAATATCATTAATGTTGGACTTGCTGTTCCCCAAATGAAGATTTTTAATGATTTCTCCTATATATTCTCAATGACTATGAATCGAAAAAAAACCCCCTGAAGTTACACTATGTTAAGAAGCGTTCACGTAAGTAGTTTTAACATTTTTTGGCCCTGTTGTTTTTGAGAAGATTTCTAAATGTAGCCACTACATTTTCACTCATTCTTAATTATCTCCTATTGAAAAAGGACGTGGCTTTTCATCTGAACAAACTTCACATAAGGATGCTTTGTTGCAATTGCTAGCTTGTAATTGGCTCAGTGGTAATGGATAAAAATTCGAAAATATTAAAAGATTACAGCTAGACACATATATTGCAGAACAAAAAGCGATCAAAAAAGTTCACTTGAGCTTTCAGCCGAGGTGGGCAAATAAAAAAAAAAACAAACAATACAAACACAAAACAAGCCTATCCCCTCGCCCTCCTAAAAACAGCAAAAATAAAAGAAAAAATAAATAAAAAGAGATAAAAAAAAAAAAAAAATAAAATTACCTAAAGTGCTATCAAAGTACGGGATTTTTTTTTTCTCGAAATCTGATTTGAGTCAATTGATATTGTTCGACCAATCAGCGAATGCTTTTGTAAATTACGATATTTCCGTTCGATATATATCTTGACTCTTTAGTCCCGGAAATGAAAAGTTCAAGTAAACAACGTTCCCTTAGATAACGTGCAATTCTACAAATAGCTATGTTGTCATCCGACTTTGAGCAGATATGCACATAATGTGACCAGGAACTTTAATGCAGATATAGATTTGCACCCTACTTAACACATAACCATCGATCGATACCTACTTGTTAATAATGCTTTTATTTTTAAATATGCTTCTTATTTCTGTCAATGACGCAATAGATGGATATGTGGTATGATTTGAGATCATGTGACGTAAACATTGCTGACTTTCGACAGCACCATAAGCCATGGGTTAATGAGGTTTAAGGGTTGCGGATCAGAATCCCATGGCTACCGAAGATGCAGTTCTGTCGAAATTTTGTCAAATTTGAAATACTTTCCACTTCGGGAAACATAAAGCACAAGCTTGCCTATCTGAACTTTTTATAAACAAGATACATCTGACACTAGTGCAAGACATATATAAATTTGGTTTATAGACAACCTTGTTACCTGTGTTTTGTAAAACAGAATGTGTTTCAAAGTTGATAAAATTTGCATAAAAAGGGAAAATTCGGAATTTAGCATATTTTGTGACCTTTCTATGCCTTGGTGTATCCCGTAATTTAGAACCAATACTTTTTTTGTAATAGAGATAACAACAGTTTTTTTAATGATGAACTATTGAATCGTTCTTAAAGACATCCAAAAGTAAGGACAAAGAAGGACATAGTCTCTCTTGTACTTAAAATTTATACATTATTTTACTTTTTCAGCACGATAATCAATAATTTTTAAGATTTTTGCAAAACCCCGAAGTATATATTAATAAAAATTTATCATATTATTGATGATATTTCAAAGATCATCAAAAGTGCTTAGAATGCAAAAAAAGTTTAGATTAAAACTATGCTTTCATGTTCTTTTATGAACATACATTTCATAACCCAATACTTACAAAAGGAATAGCAAACAATGGCAAAGGCAGTGCGAAAAGAAAAAGCCTGATACATATAAGGCCATCTGTTTTCATGGTGTTCTTCTGATTTTATCTTCATGCATTCTCCTGTTTGACAAAATGAAAATATATATGGTAAGATGAATTCGTTATATTACCTATGTCTGATAATGATTTGAATAAATATTTTATTCAAGAATAAACGGAATCTTAGTTGCGAAAGAAAGCTGATATTAATTGGTAAGCCACGTTGTACTGCGATTGTTTTTTAAAAAAATAATTTACGTATATTAAATACAGTAGGTCTATAAATTTTTGCGTCATCTTATTTTCGCGATGTCATGATATGACATTTATAGGCGAGAAAATTTTCCAGAATGTTGGTTTTAGCTGCATATATTCTGTAAAAAACAGGAATATACGCAAGAATGAAAAATATGCATACAGACTGTTTCGCCTCATTACTCGATAAAGTTCTCGCAAATATAGTACTAAATCAGTAGTATATACATGTAGTTATACTACGATTGTACTATTCATGAAGGCAATCTATAAATCTAACAAAGTTTAGAGTTAGGGGAGATCGGACTGTTGTAGTGAATTCTTATATAAAAGTTTAAACAAGGTAAATATTTACCTTGCCTGGTTGTATCTCTGATAGTTTTTTAGGGGGTTATTTACATGCATGCAAAATCACACAAAAATCTTAAGAAGGATAAGTCAGGATAATAATGAAACACTAGTGTTTTTCTGAGATGTTGTATTAGTTCACCCTCTTCCGGGTTTAAACATGTACTCTATGAGAACAGGACGGATAAAATCGTATATAATTATTAATATGTCTGTGCTGTTCCATTGCATAAGGAAATGAAAGATAAGGGGATTATTTTTTCCGGGATGAAATGAAACATTAAAAAGAAATGTAAGGGAGAGCAATGTACTAAATTTGCGTAACATTTGAACAAAATACTTGACATACAAATATGAAACCATGATAAAAAAAGGATATTTTTTTATATGCCTTGCATGTCCTGACAAGAAAAATAAATCTTACTGATAAGAAAAATCAGAGAATAGAAATACAATTCAATGATTTAAACATTCTAACTGCCTACAATTTGAAGGAAATTTTAAATGGTATTTCCAAAGAAAATTGCCTTGAGGGATATTGGCCTGATGTCATTCATATTCCGAAATTGAATCAAGAAATTCTCATTATGAATATTTTATTCCTAAGCTGAAATCAACATTTTACTTTAAAAAGGCAATGTATTATATACTAGGAATGGTTCATCAAAAGCAGTCTATTTTAACTAAATTCTTGCACTTATAGCAAGATCTTTTTGCTCTTCCTGCGTAAATATATAACTTCTCTGGTGCAGTGACAAAGAAAAGTTAAATACCTCAACTCCGAATACGAGAACCATTTGCCACAATGCTATGGTAACTTTGGCCATGCTGGTCTTCAGAAGAAGTTTTAAGGATTTTTTCCTCTTCTTTCCTATATTGTGGCTATATTGTGGCGCCCACTATTCCCAACGGTGCCTTACTGCAATACTTAGATAACGGATCCAGGACCACACATTTCACTCTTTTGGTAAAAGGTTGAGCGCAATTATGTACGCATTACGCATGCTAGAGGTTTATAAAGAAAGAACAAGAGTTATTATACATAATTCACTTTTTTATTTCACCCTACCCTGGAGCCTTAAAATTGAAGCTAGGAACCATAAATATCATGCCAAAAATTCCCTTGCTAGACTTCCAGATGTACTGATATAGATTTTTGAAGATTGTATGCTTTTTTTGCCCACACAGATTCGAGGGAAGCTAACACCATGAAATTCTCAACTTTTGTTTCCCTTTAAACATAGATTCTATGCAGTAAAATTGGTTTCTATAGCTATACATTGCTCTAAAGAAAAAAAAAAACTGAAAATGCTCAAAAGTGTACGACAGACGGACCAAAGGCAACACAGTCCTACGATGACGGACAAAAATAAATAGCAATAGGTAACCAAAGTCACTCAGGTGACATAAAGAGAAACAAGAGGCCAATGGGTGTTAATGCTCACCTGAGTCACCTTGACCCTCCTGTTCCTCAGAAAAAGATATTTAAGTTATACCCCACTATATTTCAATTGTGGTCCCACCCAACAACCTACACAATGCATATTCATAGTCAGAGGCTGTGACACTGTCATTTGTAAGCACACTGGAATAAAGTTACCTATATTTGGTTTGCGATACAGCTTCCCCCAAGATGATTTGGCTATGTTTAGTATTAAAATTCTTAAACGAGGTCCTGGTAGTTAAGTGTTTGGGACACATTCTCCTTTCGAGATACATCAACTGACAATGTTTGATCGCTCTTTGACTCATAATAGTAAGCAAGATATTGCTCGGGTAAAAGATAACAGTCTGGCAGTCAGACAGACAAACGGACCAGAAACCTCTACAATTAGCATCGGCATATAAAATATATACTTTTTCTATGCATGGTGTGTTTTTTTTTTGTTGTTGTTGTTTCACGTCCCTCTCGAGAATTTTTCACTTATATGGAGACGTCTCCACTTGTCGGTGGAGGGCTGCAAATGTTGACCTATACTTGGAACTTAGGGCCATTGAGCAGTGAGGGATCCTTTTCCTGCCAGCACCTACTGCGACACGGGAATTCGAACTCGGTTTATACGGTCTCATCCGAAGGACCGGTCTACACGTCCCGCAGTGGATTCGAACCCGCGACGTAAGGATCTACTCCTTACACCGCTACTCTAGAGAAAACGCTCTAACCACTGCACCACTCGGGCGACTACATTGGTATGTAATAGTTTAATTTGATACCCTACTGTTGCCCCACCATACCACTTCCCGATCTCCTCCTCCTCATTTGAATGATTCAAATCATCTTGATCTACACTTGGGGGGGGGGGGCATGAAATTCACAATTTTTGTTCCCCTTGGCCCATATATGCTCTATACCAAAGTTGGTTGAAAATGGTGTAGCGGTTTTTGAAAATTTTCAAAATTCGTCGACGGACAAAGAAAAACAAATAGCAATAGGTCGCTAAAGTGACTCAGCTGACCTATAAAATAGCAAATATAATTCATGGCCAATTGACTATGGTTTAACGTGGTAGGGTCAAAAGATTCTTTTTTATAAACATGTAGAGGAAAATATTAATATCTTCGCACAAAGGGGCTACAAATACATGTATGTTTATTGAAACAATTAAAGACATGATTATGTAAAGACCCTGGACCTATGGTACGGCCACACTAAGAAGACAAGAGTTATCATAGATATATAAACATCTGCAAGATCAACAACAATACGGACTGCGTCTTGCCTTCTATCTCAGTATTCTGCATTTAATTCATATTGTTCTGCAAGCATTTTCATATGGCGTAGTTTCAAAATGTTGTCTAATTTTTCGTCTATTAGTGGGTCAACATTTCCATGTGGTGTAGACACATTTTTGTACAAACATAGCCGAGTTATGGTAGGGCCACATAAGGATTGAAAACAATCCCATTATCTGATGAACATCCTAAACTATACACATATAAAATCGATATGAACAAATAAAAGTCATACAGTGTCAGGTTTTTACGATCAAATAGACGATTGAGAGTCTATCATAAAACCCATATTTACTGGTGCTGAGTCCGAATCTAACGTCAAGTTTGTAAAGCAGTATCCAAGGGAAAAACACCTTACACGATGCACACTACATAATTCTTAAAACACAATTTATTTTGTTTAGAATTTTCAACAATGTTAGCATAGTACTTACCGAAACACGGAACTTGTTTACTCCAAGTACAGATCAACTGCGCAGTTTGAATCAAAACACATTCGGCCTTGAAATCCTGGGAATTGAAAAAAAAAAAAATCAGTCGGTGCTTTAAGAGCCCTCTATATCCTCTGTACCCGCTTCACCTCAAACACCGTTATATTTTAGCATGGGTAAGTCCGATTATGTTTCCAGGCCTGTTATGCCTTACAACAAATTAGTCATGTTACGTAATAATAATGAATTGTCACTTCCGGGATCTCTGTACGCTTTTGAAAAAACACCTACAATCTTCTGTTCTTGACCAGATTAACCCAAGTTAATTAGAACAAATTGCATTAGACCTAAAGGATTTCACTGTATGTGACGTGCTGACGCTTTGCTTGTCGAGAAAGTTAAATACTACGTCACGTTGTTACCACATCAAAGGAAGTAACCCAGATCGCTTCTCTCCCACGCTCAAGTCGGTCAACTGTAATACACATCGTCGACGTTTAACGGGTTTATAAATGGAGACAGACAGTCACAGCCGTCCTTTTATCGAATATTCCCTGCACAAATATTAAACAGTATTGAAAATAGAGCATTATGCATTTTTTAGAATCCATAATAAATTGAAGTTGAGGTGATTATTTTATTCCATAACATATTTTACCTTTTTCATATTTGCGTATAAAAAGTAGTGCATGATAATCAAAATTTATTAGTCATGCGTGTCAATACAGGTCATGCATTCTGAGATTGTAGCAATTTATTACAAATTACTGCTGAAAAATGGAGCCCATTCTGTACGCATATACCCGTATTCGAGAAAGATAGTAAAGACGGAAGGCGTGCATGTACATTTACGTTCAAATTTTATCGATTGAGAGTTCAATACATTTTAAAGTTTTATTACATTTTGTATTCATAGTATAATTAATACCGATGGACAGAATGTAAAGCTTATGTTTAAATACACATGCACCTCTTGATTCTGAGAGAGGTACAGTTCCTGAAATGTTCTTCTTTCCCACTTGAACGGTGACGAGCGCTGAACGAATGATGAACGAACGCAGAGCGAACGCTGAACGCAACTTGGTGAACGATGTGTGAACGGTGAGCAAACGCAGAACGCGAACGCAAAGTGAACGGTGAACGAACGGTGAACGCAAGATGAACGATTTATTCGGAATGCTTCTGATTTTTCCCTGGCATTGAAACCATTCTATTGTATTCTAATGTCAGCTGCCAAAAAATAAATAATAAGTAAATAAACAAATCAATGATTAAATAAAT